CAGCAGTCCAGCCTGAAGGCAGCACGGGACAGAATGAAAGAACCAACTGAGGCCGGCCATTCTCTTGTAGTATTGACTCGGCCTGGCCTGCCTCCGAACATCACGCATACGCGTTGTAAACGAATACAATGCATAGGTTGCTTTCTATTCGAATATAACGCACATGCATTCTAGTCGAACAGCGCTTACTGGCGAATACAACGCATATGCATTCTACTCGGATTTTTGCATTTTTCAAAAACTCGAATAGAACACATATGCATTATGTTCACGGGAAGACCGCAGCTTCAGAAATGACAGTTAATTGGCATACTGTGGTGCACCTCTGAGGTGCACTCTACGGTATGGTGACTGCGACACAGTGCAGATTTGTGATGCGTGCGCCGTCCGCACAGGTGTAGTGCGCTGGGTTGCAAGCGGCTCCACCTTGCATGCACACAACTTTGTTTTTTCTCTCCTGTGTATGTTACTATGTGTGTGTTTGTGTGTTCGGGTAAACTATACTACTATAGCATATTACGCTATGAAAGCTCCTGTAATGAATCCAGTCGTGAGGATAATCGTCAAGTGTCGAAGTACAAGAAAACTCATCGCTGAATAATGTCTCCACTAATCGTGAATGTGATCTGTAGTACAATGTCTCGTATCCAATGGACGAAGAGAGGAGAGGGGGAATAGACAGATTAGAGGGTGGAAGGGATATCCATCAATGACCACAGAGATAGTAGCCCAACAGTTCCCTCTCCTTCTCCGGGCTTCCCCCTCGCCTCCACGTCAACAACAATGTCCAATAACGAGCCTGACGGGGCCTGATCACATCAAAAGTGCCACGTGGCACAGTTCGCCCATGAAGATGTTCAGCAGCGCACAGTATCGACATCAACAGCAGGTAAGTATCCCGTTCTCTCTCAATCATCCCGATCTCCCTCCTTGTCACGTCCTCAGCAATGAAGACAGTGTGGCCAATGCCATGTCAGCTATGAAGACAGAGTGGCATGCGCCACATCAGCAATGTCAAAGACAGCGTGGCTTGCGCCACGTCATCAGAGGCTGGCGCCGAAGCAGGAAAGCACCAGCATGCAAGCAGCAGTCTCGCGTCGTCGTCCCCAGTGCCAGCGTACAGCCAGCGTCAAGCCAGCATCAAGCCAGCGTCCAGCCAGCGTCAAGCCAGCGTACAGCTAGCGTTAAGCCAGCGTCAAGTCAGCATAGCAAGACTGAATGTTGAACCCCAGGGGGCAGGGTCTTATGTAGCATTTGACCGGGTTGACCTGCCTCAGGTCTCCCACCCACGGTGGCTCAGATTGACTTGCAGCCGACGGCCTGGATCCCTTACAGTTGCAAACTTCCACTTGGCCTGAATGCTGTCGGGGTACCCGCATACAAAAAAGTGCGTGTGTCTGGCCGGCAGCCTGGGCTGGGTCCACAGTGACTTTGACTGAGGGCCATGTACAGTTGACTTTTAGTCAACTGTCTGGCGCAGGGCACACATTTGGGGTCCTGCCTCTACGTAGTGTGGCCTAGGCCGACTTCGGGCGTGGGGCCCTTAGACAGGTTACGAGGCATAAGGAACGGGTTATTGCACTCCACATACCTTGCAGTATACAGGTTCTGGGCCTAGCAGCTAATACTTATTGCACATCCCATCGACCATGGTGAGTGGGAACTGCTACTGGAAGACGAAAAGACTACGGGAGGACAGGACTATTCCCAACGACTGGATGGAAAGACTTAGGCTCACAGGACTATTGCCAAATACTCCATGAAAAAACTCGGGCCGACAGGACTAGTCCCAGAGACCCACATACAAATGCAAAGACAATGAGCGCAAACAGACAACAGAGTTTATCCCTTACAGTCTGTGGAAGCCCCTCATGGACGGATGTCCTACCTCTTATCCTTCTGGTAGTCTTGGCTGTCACAGGTATGAGGCAGATTGAGAGGAAGACAAGAAGGCAACAAGGCTAGCCTGGTAGTCGATCCTCCACCAGGTAGTAAAATTTCTGCTGTTCAGGGGGTCTTTCAGCCTTAACAAAAGGAGCCGTTGGTGTAAAAATTTGTGTAATGTTTGTATTTTATGGCTTGCTGGTGGAAACGGAACCGAACTGATGCTCCCCAACATGGAATGGAACAGGGACCATAAGGCTCTGAGCAGTTTCAAAACACGAAAGGCAAAACAGGTAAAGGAGGCCAGATCAACGCAGCCAGCTACAGTCTCCAAGCAGGTGAGAGGTGCAAAGCTGTGGCTCATGCACACTCATCTCTGCAGCATTCAAACGGACAACGATGGATTTGGATATATACATTAACAGATGGAGGACAGGAAGACACAAAAAGGGGACTGACAGGTAGGGAGGATAGCTGACTATGATTAGGACAACATAGGTGAACGTGAGCTTGTGAACCAGAAGGAAGTTCAAGGATGCATGAGCTCAAACTTCAACACCGTGCCATGGCCGTAGTGGTTCAGAGACTCGGCTCTTGAGGCTGAGGGCACCGGTTCGAATCCGTGCGTGCATGGAGGAGGTGCTGTGGCTGATAAAGTTCAGACAAGGTCATGACTGAGTGCGTGAGTGAGCATCACCCCCCTGAATGACTCATAACAGCCGAAGTTCAAACCCATGGTTTCATGTGGGCATCGTTCAGTGGGGATTGTCTGACGTGGACTCGAACTAAGTGCCGATGGGACCAAGAGTTACAAACACAACAGTGGCGATTCTGGTACCTTAATGCCCAAGCCCTGAAGCAGGAACGCAGTGGTACCCTGGGATAAGCTGGTGAAGACTAAAGGGACAGCAAACAGTCAGCTAGATAGTGCAGGGAACATGAATATGGACGAAGCACAGAAATCCAGATTGCAAAATCACACTGAAGTCCATGTAGCCAAAGCCAAAGCAGATAGCACAATGGAACCGAGTAACCATCCAATTGAGAATGATACAGAAGAATCGTGAGTCAATGTCCAAGCCCAACAGGGCAACACCAACAGCATAACCCAGTGTAGCTCTCTCTTGTGAATGGCGCCAGGCGCCCTATCTACTCTACAGCCTAGCCTACAACTACAGCAATGAAAGCAACCAGACAACTTGACTACCAGTGAGTGATTATGTCAACACCAATGCCGACCTCCACCTCCACCAGGTACGTGTCCTCTTCACCCACACTCTTCCCTGTTACCCACACAGCGCCCTTCACCTCCGAAGACCACCTTCGCCCTTCMCCTCTCCTGCACCCTCATGCGGCCCGGCTATGGCCGCCAGTGCCTTGTATGCAGGCAGCGCCCKACCGCCTWGYGCTAGCCTGCTTCACCCCAGCGCAGCGCAGCTCTTGCACAGCGCAGCACACATGCATTAGCGCAGCGTKCCCRCAATGCCTGCATTGGYCAAGATCCCTGCCCACTCGCCCTGCTTGCCTATATGCCAGTGCTGCGTGTGGGCGGCCTCCCTTCAGCCTGCGTCCGAGCCCCAGTGGCTGAGCTCAKTCCGATACAGTTGAGGCCCRGGGCAATGCAGTTGCGCCTCCTTCATCAAGGCCTGCGSCCAGATTCAGATAGTGGCCGATTTCCCTTTGGCATTTTCGGCCTCTCTACCCAGCATGCATTGTCRGCCTCACRTTAGTGCCCAGSGCCTAACTAAATCGGAGGCCCTGGGATGTCTACATTTGCAGAGATCCGAGACTCGGTGCACTCCAACCAACTGGCGTGCTGCAACTGTATGGACCCCACTTTGGGAAATRTTTGCACAGAGGGCTCTTGTTGATTTGCTGGCCCGCCTTCACTTAGGGCGGGCACGAGGCTTGCTGGGGCCTTAGCCCAGAACATGTACATCATGGCAAGGCCCCTACTTGAGGGCTCAATCCTCACATTCCATCCCCCTTAGCTTCGAAAGTCCGCTGAGATGCTTACTTCGCAGGTGCCTTCCCTTCCAGTAGCCTCTCATATTCTGCCACCACCTGAGGAGCTGTCTCAATCAGTTCCTCCCTGGTAAACCACCGATCTTCTTTTGGATCCGTATGATGCCTGAATCTGACGCGATACTCCCTCTTGGGCTTAGGAGGTCTTCCTCGACCCAGCGGCTTTGGAACAGGCATATCCCTGTGATCCACAATGTCATCGATGTCCACTTCACCATCCATGGTTGGGGGCAGCATCGATCTCCTGGAAGGGAATTGATCTGTCTCAGCAAAAGGTGCAAGCTTTGAGGCATGAAAGACCGGGTGAGTGCGTAGGTGTCCAGGGACCCGAATGACATATGTGGGGCCATCCATCTCATCTCCCACTATATCCAGGACTTCCCAGGGACCAAAGTACTGAGGCATTAGTTTGCGAGAGATTAATTCCTGTCCTAACTCACTAGCCTTGACCCAGACATGTTTCCCTATCTGAAACGTGGACTGTCTACGATGTTGATTCTCAGAAGCAATCATTGCTTGCTGAGCTTTCTTCATGTGCTCGACAACTTTTTGCAGCAACTTCTCATACTGCACACCATACTCAAGTGTGCATGGAGTTGCAGCAGGTCGGTTTTCAGGTAGGAGGAAGTCTAGTGTTGATCTAGGCTTCCATCCCAAGTGTAGCTGGTTAGGACTAACGTCGGTACTGCTGTGGACAGCATTGTTGTACAGGCTGGCGATGAGAGGCAACTGCTCACCACAGTCATCCTGGCTGGGCTTGAGGTAATGCCTCAGCAAGTGTTGTACAACTCTATTCATTTGCTCGGCCTGTCTGTTTGCTTCAGGATGATTCCCTGAAGTCATTTGAAGTTGACTGCCCATCTGTTCTGCAGTCTTCTTCCACAACTCACTTGTGAATCGGACATCTTGGTCACTAACGATTGACTTTGGTAAACCAAAGTCACGCACCCAGTTGTCCTTGAACAACTTGATGACATAGTCAGTTCTTGCGGTCTCTGGCATGGCCACTAGCCTAGCGTACTTGGTGAATCGATCGATGATGACGAAAATGTGCCTCCTGCCACTCTTACTAGTCACCAGAGTGTCCATGAAATCCATGGAAACACTCTGTCCTGGACCAGCAGGAATAGGCAAAGGCTTCAACAACCCAAGCGGTGCTTGAGTTCGCGGCTTGTCCCGCTGACAGACCTGACAGGTCTCTACGTACTTTTTTGCGTCATCAAACATTCCTGGCCACCAAAATCGCTGTACTAGGTTAGCACTCGTCTTTTTGTAGTCAAAGTGTCCCGTTGCGTCATGGCATTCTCCTAAAAACAAACTACGTAAAGGTTCACTAGATGGAACTACTAATCTCTTTACTCCGGCCTTATCAAGATAGAGAAGCTCGTCCACCATCACAAACTCACTTTCTGTGGCCTTGTCTTTTGCCTGAAGTTTGCGAATGATGTCCATCGTGACAGGGTCTTCCTGATAGGCTCCCACCAATGATTGAGTTACTTCTTCAGATACGCCAAAGTCAGAAACTAGCGCACCTAGGTAGTCTGCTCTACGTGATAACGCATCAGCAACCTTGTTATACTCTCCCTTCAGATACTCAAGCTTGAAGTCATATTGGTCTATGACCTCAATCCATCGCTTGAGTGCGTCAGAAAGAGCCGGTTGAGTCTTGATCCATTTGAGGGTCTGATGATCAGTCCTCAAGTAGAAGAACCTTCCCAATAGGAAGTGTCTCCAATGGACAAGTGCTTTGTATAGAGCATAGAGTTCCCTTTCGTAGGTGGACTTTGCCAACTTCTTCGATGGCATCTTCTTGCTCATGTACTCAATCGGTCTCAACATTTTCCCATCCTGCTGAGCCAACACTGCGCCAATGCCGTATTGGCTTGCGTCAGTGGTCACTATGAATAGCTTCTGGGATCAGGAACCATGAGGACCTCATGATTCATGAGTGCATGCTTCAATCTCTTGAAAGCACCCTCGCACTCATCACTCCAGTCCCACGGTGTGTCAAGTCGAGTTAGATCAGTCAAAGGAGAGGCGACTATAGAATAGTTCTTTACGAAGTTTCTATAGTAGTCGCACATTCCTAAGAATGATCTGACCTCAGTGACTGCCTGAGGTCATGGCCAGTCTCGAATACTAGCCACCTTCGCATCTTCCGGCCTAATCCCCTCCGCGGATACTTCATGAACCAAGTATAGTATCTTAGTGCGACCGAACTCACACTTCTCTAAGTTGACCTTATACTTGTGTTGTCACAGGAGTGAGAGTACCTTCTCAACATGTTGTGCATGCTCCTCGGCAGACACTCTAAAGATCAGAATGTCGTATAAGTAGACCACGACAAACTTATCTAAATGGTCATTCATAGCGTGCTGGAATGTTCCCGGCGCGTTACAAAGACCAAAAGGCATCACTACAAACTCATACAGACCATAACGAGTCTGAAAAGTTGTCTTGTGTTGGTCCTCTGGCCTTATAGCGATCTGATGATAGCCGGATTTCAAGTCTATCTTCGTATAGTACTTGCATCCCTGCACCCTATCCAATAGGTCGTCTATGCGAGGWAGAGGCTTTGCATTTTTCACTGTGATGGCATTGAGGCCTCTATGGTCAATGCACATCCTCAAAGTACCCCCCTTCTTCGGTACGAATAGWACGGGTGATCCGTAAGGGGAAGTACTAGGCCG